TAATTTTAATTTTAAAGTTAACAATCATTCTCCTTCCTCCACCACAAGCTAAGCAAAATTATTTCTGTTGCTCCACCTCCTCTTCCAATCCTCCGGTTCTCAATCTTCCTCCTGCTCCTCCTCTCCCTGTTCCTCCTCCTCCTCCTCCTTGTCTTTCATTCATACTGTTAACAGTAGCTAACAATTGAGCCATTGAACTGCGTAGATCCTTCATTTCCTCAGATAATGATTTGCTTTGATTTTTGACATCAGCTACAGTTGCCTATATTAAATAATATGCATGATAAAAGAGAAAGTTCACTATGTTCACTTACTGGATGTTCAGTTTTAGATTTCTCAATCTCATCAATTGTTCGTTTAAAAAAACTATGCTTGTTTGGTTTATCCTTCATTTTAGTAATGGTTACAATCTTTTCCAACAAATATGAAACTTTTTTTAGTTGCTCCTTTTTATCAAGATGGTTCTTAATTGATCTTAGAAGTTCTTCAATAGGTAATGTAAATTCAACCTATACATATTAACATTGAGTAAGTAATGTCAAGAATACTTGGTAATGTCAAGAATACTTGGTAATGTCTATGCAAATCAGTTCTTACCTTCAGAGTTAGTCTGTAAGTATCAGCTGATTTTTGTATTTCATCAGTGTCACCAACAGCTAAACCAATCTATATAAAAATGAGTTGGTCAGTGGGTGGAGTTAATAGAATATGGACATACCAATAGATTAAGGAATAGAATTGGCATTAAAATCACAAACACAATTATCAATGAAAAGGAAACCACTGGATACTGTACATCAGGGGCATTCATTTGATTATTCTGTCGTAATAATGGATCCATATCAAGTTCCCCCACTGTCATTGTTATTGCCTTAACAGTTGTCCTCCATGGAGTGATAAATGGAGTACGCTGCATAAAAAAAGTAATAAAGAAAAAAATACTTGAGTCTTACTATTCCTTCTGCTCTATCTTGAGGATCATAAAACATCATATAAAAAGGAACTGCAAATGCTAAGATTAATAGTAAAGCAAGGGTGACAACCTTCATAAAGTTGTTAAAAATTTTAATAAACATGACCACATATATTCCAACTACTGGTAACTTTCTTATGGAGAATATCAGTGCAATCCAACAGAGGAATACAGCAATCACTCCAGTCTGCCACTGCCATGAATGAGTACAATAGCACTGGTTGCTATGTACTGATGCAAAAATTATTGTAAAGACAAATAGTGGGACTTCAATAAAGTTGACAAAACTGGTCAAATACTCTTCTTTAAACAAAACCAGTTGAAATGCTTCTCGTATTATCATGATTGCACAATAAACTATCAGGCATGTACTAGCAATAGATATGTATATTCGAGATACAAATCTTTCCTCTAAACACAAGCATTACAGTCATATAATAGTTATTATTCGGCAATTACCTGTAAAGCAATCAATAGATGTTTCATTGTCATTTCCAAATACTTCCATACCTATTATGAATAGTATAATTATTTAATAAACGACTTATAATAACTTACATATTTTTGAATTTGGAGGATGGACAGTGAGAGCATATGATGTCAGTAGAATGACAAATAAAAAATAAAAAAACAAATTAGTGTAATAGACTATACAGCCTATTTTATTCCATTTTTGATCAAGTAATGTAACAGCCAATGGATGCTTCAATAAGTCAGCACTTGGTGAATCAGCCTATGAATAATAAGTATAATTTATAGTTACTATAAAGTATAGCTTACAAGAATATTAAGACAGTGATTCTCACTAGAGTATTTTAGCTGTGGAGGCCATTTTTTAGTTGTCCTTTCATTACTAGTCCTTTTATTACTAACAAATAATAGAAAATAATTGCTTGCTCTTATTAAAACAACATTTTAATATTCTTACAGATCAAAATCATCAAGAAACTCATAATTAAAAGTAATCTCATGATCAGGATGATCTTCCGGGTTTTCTTTCTTACAGCAGTTATCAAAAACAACTTTAGCTACATCTACATGTAATAGAGCCACAAGTGCAATAACCACCAATAATACTAATACTGTATATTAACCTGGCATCTTCTTAATTATCCTTCTCATTGGTGTTGTGAATTGCTTTTTGGCTCCATGATTTTTCCTTTTTTTGCAACACCATACTCTTCTAATCCCACAGATTTCATCAGCACTTTCATCAATAATTGTATCCTTAACAGTGTAATTACGTAATGCATCCTCCCACTTATCACTAGTCACTATAGCCATTGCAGCATCTCTATATTATTAAAAAGAATTGTAGTAATTATCCATAATTATTAACTCTCACTTTTTTCCTCTCTCTACAGCAATATCAAGAGCATTAAGACCATCTTTATTACATTTAGTAACATCAGTATCTTTTCGCTTCAGTAGTAATTCAACTATTTCTGTATGTCCTTTTTCACAGGCAATTTGAAGTGCTGTATAATGCTACATGATAATAATAATAACAGCTAATACAAAAATTTAAAAAAAGATTAAGTAGGATTCCAAACAACTTTCTACCCTTATACCAATTCAGCGGACAATGGCTGCCATTTTGAAGCAAAGATTAGTTCTTAAGTGCCTTAAAGCAATAATACTAGTTTTATTTTTTTCCTTGTTTTTGCTTTCTCTTTTAATAAATTTACAGAAAAATATAACCCGTGAAAAAACCATGGGCTATAGCCTTTTTTCTTTTTCTTCCAAAAGGGAACTAAACATTTTGATTCATCGAAAATTAATGGAAAAAAGGCAAGTAGGATTCCAAACAATTAACTTTCTACCCATGTGCCAATTCAGCAGACAATGGCAAGCAAAGATTAGCTCTTGCCTTGAAGCAATATCATCAGTTTCATCTAATAATTATGTCACTTACACTGTCCTTATCAGTAACATTGACATCAACTCCCTTATGCTCCAGTAGTAGTTTAACTATCTCAGTATGTTGTTGTATATAGGCAATTTGAAGTGCTGTATGCTACATGATAATAATAATAATAACTAATACAAAATTTTAAAAAAATTAAATTAATAGGACTTATTCATCAAAAAATAATGGAAACAAAGGCAAGTAAGACTCCAAACAACTTTCTACCCATATACCAATTCAGCAGACAATGGCAAGCAAAGAAAGATCTTGCCTTAAAGCAATATCATCAGTTTTATCTTGTTTTTTCTTAATTTTTCTTTTTTAAAAATAAATATATACAATAATTATGTCACTTACATTGTCCTTATCAGTGGCATTGACATGAACTCCATTATGCTCCAGTAGTAGTTCAACTATTTCTGTATATCCTTCTTTACAGGCAAGAAGAAGTGGTGTATGCTACATGATAATGATAATAATGACTGATGCAAAAATTTAAAAAAAGATTAAGTAGGATTCCAAACAACTTTCTATCCTTAATACCAATTCAGCGGACAATGGCTACCATTTTGAAGCAAAGATTAGTTCTTACCGTATAGCGGGTAATTTTTGACTGGTGCTTATTTGCATCTGTTTCATTGCTATTAATTTTAAACAAAAATTAATTCTTGATGAAAATTAATTCTGAAGATAGGCGTGACCATAATAAATTGATAATAACATAATAATAAGCATAGATGGCGCGTTCACCTTCTAAAGAACCTCTTCCAGACCCTACAGGACCAGGGGCCCTCTTTCTAATGCTATCAGTCCTACAGATGCTAATAAAGACATCAGATCAACTGTTTTTGTCTAGTCAAAAATAAAACCAACAAATTTTTATTCTAAAGTCATTTCTGGTTTTATTCAAAATTTTCAACTGCCGAAAATTACCCACTATACGGTAAGTGCCTTAAAGCAATGATACTAGTTTTATCTTTTTTCCTTGTTTTTGCTTTCTCTTTTAATAAATTTACAGAAAAATATGACCCATGGAAAAACCATGGGCTATAGCCTTTTTTTTTTTCTTCCAAAAGGGAACTAAACATTTTGATTCATCGAAAATTAATGGAAAAAAGGCAAGTAGGATTCCAAACAATTAACTTTCTACCCATGTGCCAATTCAGCAGACAATGGCAAGCAAAGATTAGCTCTTGCCTTGAAGCAATATCATCAGTTTCATCTAATAATTATGTCACTTACACTGTCCTTATCAGTAACATTGACATCAACTCCCTTATGCTCCAGTAGTAGTTTAACTATCTCAGTATGTTGTTGTATATAGGCAATTTGAAGTGCTGTATGCTACATGATAATAATAATAATAACTAATACAAAATTTTTAAAAAATTAAATTAATAGGACTTATTCATCAAAAAATAATGGAAACAAAGGCAAGTAAGACTCCAAACAACTTTCTACCCATATACCAATTCAGCAGACAATGGCAAGCAAAGAAAGATCTTGCCTTAAGCAATATCATCAGTTTTATCTTGTTTTCCCTTTTTTCCTTTTTAAAAATAAATATATACAATAATTATGTCACTTACATTGTCCTTATCAGTGGCATTGACATGAACTCCATTATGCTCCAGTAGTAGTTCAACTATTTCTGTATATCCTTCTTTACAGGCAAAAAGAAGTGGTGTATGCTACATGATAATGATACAATGACTAATGCAAAAATTAAAAAAAAATTAAGTAGGATTTACTCTAGCTGTGCTTATATATTCATCAAAAACCAATTCAGCAGACAATTGGTTGCCATTTAAGCAGAGATTGATTGTTTTTGTTTTCTCTTTAAATATTCATGTCACTTACGCTGTTGTCCTTATCAGCAACATTGAGATCAACATCCTCTTTCTTTAGTAGTAGTTTGATTATTTCTTTATGTTGTTTCATACAGGCAATATGAAGTGGTGTACGCTACATGATAATGATAATAATAATAAATAATATAAAAATTCAAAAAAATTAAGTAATGGAAACAAGGGCAAGTAGGATTCCAAACAATTTTCTACCCTTATACCACTTCAGCTAGCAGACAATGGCTGCCATTTTGAAGCAAAGATTAGCTCTTGCCTCAAAACAATATCATCAGCTTTATCTTGTTTTTTTAAAGGCCTCCATACACTAGACAACATGTTGCTGGCAACATTTGTGGTTACTTTGATCTTGTAAGCAACATGTTGCCAGACTAATAGAAGGCTGTTCTATTCCTGGCAACATGTTGCTTACAAAATCAACATGTTGCCTAGTGTATGGAGGCCTTTAGTTTTTGCTTTCTCTTTTATATAATTATGTCTCTTACATCATCCTTATCAGTGACATTGACATCAGCTCCATGCTTCAGTAGTAGTTCAACTATTTCTGTATATCCTTTTATACAGACAATTTGAAGTGGTGTACCCTAATAATAATAATAATAATAATAATAATAATAATAATAATAATAATAATAATAGTAATAATAATAATGATAATAATAATAATAATAATAATAGTAATAATGATAATAATAATATTAATAATAAAATATTAATAATGAATAACCACATGATTCAACCACATGCAGTTAAGTGTGGTTTCTGAACCATTTTAAGTTGAACTGGCTTGTATGTAGATGGGACTTAATTTTTGTGATTTTTTTGGTAAATTTCAAATTTGCAGCTTTTGTGATTTTTGATATAAAATAATAATAAAAATAATGATAATAATAATAATAATAATAATAATAATAATAACAATAAGTTACATTTTCCCTATTAGTGTGATTAATAATATTAACTCCTTCAAGCTGCCCTCCTGCACCGGCCATACGAAGAACTATACACTAACATAATAATAACAACAAAAATTATTATCATTATTATTGTAACTTACATTTTCATCATAAGTGTTCTTGGCATTATCTATACCATGCTTCAGTAGTAGTTTAACTATTTCTGTATGTCCTTTCACACAAGCTAAATCAAGTGGTGTATTCTACATAATAATAATAATAATAATAATAAATAATAATAATAATAATAATAATAATAATAATAATAATAATAATAATAATAATAATAAACTAACTACTTAACTAGAACTATATTTTTATTTTATTTTATTCTGTTATTAATTTCTTTTTTTGTCCCTTTTGTCTGCTTAATGACTTTTTCAGTGTTATTACCATTGCTGTTTTTTGTGTTGTAAATTTTTCTCTGTTTTGCCCCCTTCCCTGTTGTTGTTGCCTTTGTTTATAATAATAATAATAATATTAGGGCTTTGTTTTGTTTTGTTTGTGTTTTTAGTATCTTTTTGATAATAATAATAATGTTAATAATAATAATAATAATAATAATAATAATAATAACTGTTGATACCTGTGACGGAGCCCCTTTGGACCTTATAATGACTTAAATCCATAACTTAACTTCATCCTTATTAAATTATTATATATTTTTTTAAATCTCTATCAACCTAATTATTTTTATTTCATTTTTCATCCTGCCCTAACTTTGTCCTAATTCTAACTTTCGTTAATAATAACAACAATAATAATAATAATAATAATAATAATAATAATAATAATAATAATAATAATAATAATAATTATAATAATAATTATAATCATTGCCTATTACTTTTATTGTTATCCTTATTTCTCTCTCTTTCTTCTCTCTCTCTCTTTTCTCTCTCTCTCTCTCTCTTCTCCTTTATTATTAGAAAATAATAATAATAATAATAATAACCGCATTTCCCTACATCTAAATATGCATGCATTTTTAAAACTACTTTAAGAATATAATAATAATAATAATACTATGTCAATACTATTTCTCTTACTCCATTATTATCAGTGACATTGACTTTAGCTTTATGCTCCAGTAGTAGTTTAACTACTTCTGTATGTCCTTGTTCACAGGCAATACAAAGTGGTACACGCTAACATAAAAATAAAATAATATTAATGTATCAATGATCATACATTTTGTTCATCAGTGGCATTGACTTTAGCTCCCATCTTAAGTAACTTTTCAACTACTTCTTTTTGTCCTCCTATACAAGCCACAACAAGTGGTGAATTCTACATAATGATAATAATAATAATAATAATAATAATAATAATAATAATAATAATAATAATAATAAAATTAATAATAATAGTATAACTAATAATGTTAATACTATATTAATGTCTCACTTTTCGTTCATCAGTAACATTGATATCAACTCGACCATTCTTCTTTAGTAGTTCAACTATTTCTGCATGTCCTGCTATACAGGCTAAGACAAGTGGTGTATGCTACATAATAATAATAATAATAATAATAATAATAATAATAATAATAATAATAATTAATAATAATAATAATAATTACTGTGTCTCTTACTTTTTGTTTATTAATGTGATTGATATTAGCTCCATGCTTCAGTAGTAGCTCAATTACTTCTTTTTTTCCTCTCATACAAGCCAAACCAAGTGGTGTATCCTACAGGACAAATAACATGGGATAAAGGTTGAAAGGGAATGACTTTTCAATGACTTTATGATTCGGGGTGAATCCTTCAGGTCATGATTGAATTACCCCACAAGGGCCCAGATGCTATATGTATTTATAAGCAAGTCAACAGTTAATTTATAAGGTAAGTTCTATATGAGTTTGCTTTTCTTGCAGTATTGTGACCTGAACTGCTGAAGAAACAATGGTAGCATGCATCAAATGCCAAAATAGAAATTTTTCTGTGGTTTGACATATATTACCATTTATTTTTACAACACTTCCAGTGTAGCTATAGCAAAAACTACAGAGCAAATAAAGCAGGAAAGACAAAGATAGATTTCTCTAAAGTCAGAGAGAGCTTTTATTTGTCTTAGTGAAAAAACTATTAATCATGCAAGAAGTAAAATTAATCTTATTTACTCAAATCCCCCAAACCAATAAACTGCAAAATAAAACTGCAGTGTTAATATGTCTCTTACATCATCCTTATCAGGGTGATCAACATTAGCCACACCATGCTCCAGTAGTAGTTTAACTATTTCTGTATGTCCTGGTATACTGGCATTACAAAGTGGTGTAAGCTACATAATAAATAATAATAATAATAATAATAATAAAATAGTAATAATAATATTACATATTAAAGCTAATAATAATTTTTTGTTTTTATAATACTGTTTTATTCATAATAATATTAATAATGGCTTCTTATGGGGCCCCATGAGTAATTAATTTATGGAGCTTGTACTTTATGAAAAACATATACAACCTTTATATTTATCTCTATGCTAGTAGAGACACACTCATGTGAGTTTAATTAAGGCTTGCCCCAATAATAAATAGATTTGTTTAACTATAGTTATTAATAATTATTTATGATGATGTCAATACTATTTCTCTTACTCCATTGTTATCAGTGACATTGACATTAGCTTTATACTTGAGTAGTAGTTTAACTACTTCTGTATATCCTTCTATACATGCCATACCAAGTGCTGTACGCTAATATGATGATGATGATTATAATATAATTATTATAATTATGTTTCTTACTTTTTGTATATTAGTGTTATTGATATCAGCTACACCATACTTCAGCAACAGTTCAGCTATTTGTGTATGTCCTCTTAAACAGGCATTACCAAGTGGTGTATTCTAAATAATAATAATAATTATTATTATGACTTTACAACACACAGGACAAAAAGTAAGGATAATTAACATATGAGACAGGACAGGATAGAAGTGTTGAAATACTGACTCCAACTACTGAAGCAGCCTTTATAGTAGAGTACGAAAAAAGAAAAAGTAACAAAATTTAAGTACATGAACAAGAACTGCAAGGACACAAACAATAATATGTGCATGAATTATATGAATCAAAATGTAATAAAAAATGATCCCAAAAGTGATTAATGATATGTTGCTTTAAGTGATGTGAGGATGCTGAGAGGTCAATGGCTGGTAGGTTATATCATGCAATAATAATGATAATAATAATTTGCTTCAATGTCTTCATTTTTCTCATAGGCTCTGTTGTTGTACTTTATGTCCTCCCTTTAAAGCTTTGCTTTATAATAATAATCTTATTATTGCTTTTTGTTTTTTTGGTGTTGTATTTTGTTTTAGGTTTTTGCTTTTTATTTTTGTTTCTGGTTTTCAGTTTATTTTTTGCTCTTAAATTAGATTTTATAATAATAATAATAATTATAATAATAATAGTATTTAATAATGTTCTGTGCTTATATTCATCATTCATTTATTATTTCATTCCTCTTTGTGTTTGCTTCAGGCCCTCTAGAGCTGTAAACTTGGGCCCTTTAGCATGATTGGTTAACTGTATCTGACATAAGCTAGCTTAACCAATTCAGTTTGTTTAAAAGTTGTTATAATAATTACCGTAGGATGTCACACAAATGTTTCTTACTTTAAGACCATCAGTGACATTGATATCAACTCCATCCTGATTCAGTAGTAGTTCAACTATTTCTGCATGTCCTCCAATACAAGCCATAGCAAGTGGTGTACACTACATAATAATAATAATAATAATAATAATAATAATAAAATTAATAACTATGTATTAGTTAATCTATAGTGGGAGAAAAGCCTGACTCAAACATAATAAGATCCACAGAGACTGATAGGGTAGTATTGGTGATAATGGCAATAATAATAATAATAATATCAATAATAATAATAATAATAATAATAATAATATCAATAACAATAATAATAATAATAATAATAATAATATCAATAATAATAATAATAATAATAATAATAATAATATCAATAACAATAATAATAATAATAACACTAATAATTTCTATGTCTCTTACTCCTTTTTTATTTTTGTGAGTGACATCAGCTCCAAACACCAGTAGTAGTCCAACTATTTCTGCATGACCTTGATGACAGGCAATACCAAGTGGTGCATTCTACATAATAATAATTATAAAAGAATGATAATTATGTCTCTTAGCTACATTGCCCTCATCAGTTTTATTAACATCAGCTTTATGCTCCAGTAGTAGTGCAACTATTTCAGTATTTCCTGCTATACAGGTCATAACAAGTGGTGTACGCTAGCATGATAATAATAATAATAATAATAATAATAATAATAATTACTGTGTCGTTTACTTTTTGTTTATTAGTGTGATTGATATTAGCTCCATGCTCTAGTAGCAGTGCAACTACTTCTTTATGTTCTCCTACACAAGCCATACCAAGTGGTGTATCCTATAGAATAAAAACTCAAACTAATTGTTGTCTCCAGCCAAATATAATAAAATAATTATCATGTCTCTTACATCATCCTTATCAGTGTGATCAACATTATCCACACCATGCTCCAGTAGTAGTTCAACTATTTTTGTATGTCCTGGTATACTGGCATTACCAAGTGGTGTATTCTACATAATAATAATAATTATAATAATAATTCAATGTCTCGATCTTACTCCATTTTTATCAGTGACATTGACATTAGCTCCATGCTCCAGTAGTAGTTTAACTATTTCTGTATGTCCTGGTATACTGGCATTACCAAGTGGTGTAAGCTACATAGTTAATAATAATTATAATGTTTACATAATTGTTAACTGTATTATTATTATTATTATAAAACAAAAGCACTTAAGACAAAAACAACAATCAACAATAAACAGAAGAACAAAGAGCTAGACCTAACAAAAATTGAAAACCTAAAATAAAAAAAGCAAAACAAACTATTATTATTTATTATTATTACTACTACTACTACTACTACTACTACTACTACTACTACTACTACTACTACTACTACTACTACTACTACTACTACTACTACTACTACTACTACTACTACTACTACTACTACTACTACTACTACTACTACTACTACTACTACTACTACTACTACTACTATTATTATTATTATTATTATTATTATAACCAAAAAGAAACACTTAGGTATACTATACATGTAGATAGAACAGATGTAACATACAGAAGATGGAAGAGAGTACAGTTAATGGAACAGAAATTGATTACTAAATAATTTCTCTTACTTCATTTTCATCAGTGACATTGGCATTAGCTCCTTTCTTCAGTAGCAGTTCAACTATTTTTGTATGTCCTCGTATACAGGCCATAGCAAGTGGTGTACGCTAACATGAATAAATAACATTAAAATTAATGATAAATATCAATAATATTTGAGTAATTTATAGGATTATACAGAATGGAAAATTTCGAAAATTTGCATACTGTCTAGATTTTTATTCCAGTTGTATTCACATTAATTTAGTACATCTCATTGTTATGCAAAACCTACATGCATACCATTATTTGAGATACATGTATACCAAATTTATGGTAATAATAATATGTATTAACAAATCAACATGTTTGAGCTAGCTACTCATTGTTTGACTCTCATGATCTTTATTCTCAAAAATTTTTATTTCATGTAATATCTTGCACACTGTGTAATGCATGGAACAGATGTTGCATAGTATGTTGTAGGCCTCCATATTTATTCTTTTATTATAATAATAGTAATAATAGTAGTAATAGTAGTAAATTATTTATTTAGTTAATGTAAAACTGTAAATGATAAATGATGATGTGGTATGTAATGGAAAAGATGTAGTGTAAAAGAATTTAATTAGGCCCTACTGATCAAGTAGTTTATCAGGCGCATTGCTAGGGATATAGAGTCCATTAATATTACATTTTTATAGTACTAGAAGAAGATTGGAAAAGCCCCAAAATACAACAAAAAAGCAATAAGTGGGGGAGAAATTGAAGTTATATAAAATAGTTTATATAATAAGCAGAAATCTCTTACTTTCTGGCTATTAATGTGATTGATATCAACTCCCTCCTGCTCCAGTAGTAGTTCAACTATTTCTGTATGTCCTTCTATACAAGCCAAACCAAGTGGTATGTTCTAATAATAATAATGATAGTAACAGGAACATGCAATAACTACCATGTCTCTTACTTTATGGTTATCAGTGAGATTGAAAAAAGATTTGATTTTAGAGTCAGCATCATTTTCATGCAAAGAAGACGTAAGACGATTAGCTCTTTCTTTAATAAGAAGCTCAACTATTTCTGTGTGCCCAGCCTGACAAGCACAATGAAGTGGTGTAGAGTTATTTTCATCAGTAGCAGAGATATCCACTGTTTTATCTTGTAATAATTTAGCAACTTTATCAGAGTTATTCATCAAACAGGCTTGGTGGAGTAGTGTCAAGTTAAGTTCATCTGTAAAATTAAGAATAAATACTGACTCAGAATAGCCAAATAAAGAGAAATTTGTACAATTTTGTCTGTGCATATTATTGGTACGTTAAATATTATGACTTTGCATTTCATTTTCAAAAACTATAATACTTACAATGTAATTATTATTTATTATGCATGACTATTACATTAATAATGGTTAAAGTTTGACATAATGAGGTAAAGTCCACACACACACTACTATTATATCCACTCCATTTCACCCTCTGCTAGTTAAAGTTCCCTCAAATCACTCCTTAAGATCTAATAACAATCTCTTGTAGCTCATCTACGTACCAAAATTCATTTAATTTATCTGTAAGTTAACTGATGGAATCATCTTCCCTATCTCTCTCTCATATCTTAAATTGGAAATAGACGATCACTTATGACTACTTCATTCACTACCTTAGAATTAGCTATGCTATTACTTATTATTAAAAAATATATTCATTATTATTATTAAAAAATATATTCATTATAATAATTAGAATTAAATATCTTGTATGATAATTAAATTATCATACAAGATATTTAATTTTATAATTTACCACCAATATCATTCATCCTATTAAGACCACCTAGGCCTTCTAGAAGCTTGTGTAAAGATGGCTGGCTATTAGGATCACCTAGGCCTCCCAGAAGTTCGTGTAAAGATGGTTGGCTATTAGGATCACCTATAGCTAGGCCTCCCAGAAGCTCTTGTAAAGATGGCCTGCTATTAGGATTACCTAGGCCTCCCAGAAGCTCAGCGAAAGCTTGGGGACTAAGTAGGTCCTGCAATAGAAAAAAAGAGGAAGAATGAGACATAGAGTGTGAGAGAGAAGTTAGTATAAATTGCAGAACAATCTTTACTGTTTACATCTCTGCTCATGCATGCAAGGGCTCAAAAATTTTATACCGGTATTAAATGAAAATATTAAAAAATAAGAGCTATTTAGGATTTGATGCAGATATTATATGGGTAGGATAAGATGATATATAACGAATGGAAAGAAGATAGACAAATAAAAAAGTGGAAGGGTGAGAGTAAATAGTTAATAGTACAGCTTACATCCATTTCTATAGCAACATCATCATCAGCAGCCATCCTGGCCCCTTAGCTAGCTATACAAGCTGGCTACTGAAACTGCAAAGAGTGAAGGGTGTCCTCGCTCAGAACAGAAGCTTAGCTTTATAGACGTATCATAATCTTGACCACACCCACTTATTATCTAATATGTGGGAACACGTGGGAGTATTATTGAAAGATTATTATTATTATCCTTAATATATTCAACTTGACTTTTCATCCTTCCCAGAAAATATTTGGCATTATTTGCCTACCCAAAAATACTTTCCTTCTCCTCTTCTCCACTTTTAAATTCATTTTCTCTGCTTTCTTTAATTCTTTTGGTCCTCCTCCTCATCCTCACACTAAGCCTTTCATTGATCATTGGCCCAATGTGATACATGCAAAGTTTGCTAGCAACTAGCAAGTGAAGCCTACAAGTAGAGAAATAAAAAAACGAAGTCACTAGTGCCCAGTGATGATCTTCCAATCATATGTGGCAAGATCTGTATATACAATGCATAAATATGAATCATAAATGGATGCGGACTGTATACACATATGTAATGCATGTGTATCATTTAAAAATATCATTTAAAGTAGATTTATCAACACATACAAAAACTTATTATTTGGCCTAGTTTTAACCATAATATTATGTATCAAAGTCAAAAGGTTACCACTCAAAAAAATATCTCAGGACAGCAGTGCTTGAAAGTTGAACCATAATGCAAATATGGTGGCTACTATACATATTGCATACACACACATGGACAATTGAGCCACCTAATGGACTGCTTACATTTGGAATAGACTAGGGTAGAGCAAATTGCTTATGTCAGTGAGAACTTATTAAACCATTGCTTCAGCTGTATAATCTGCATAGTCAAAGAGCATTGAAGAATGGAAAACATTACATCTGTTTACTGTAATGTTATACTGGTACCCTAAATTTTATTACAACATTGTATTAAAACAGTTGCTATAAAAAGTATAAATTCAGCTATGAGCTGATGAATGATCATAGTTAAATTATAAGGTCATATCACTTATTATGGCACAATTATGATCAATTTATAAGGTCGTATCACTGCTTTTGTAACATAGCATCCTATAGTATACACAAAGTTTAGAGTAATAATAGTAAAAGAGTAATAGTAATAGAGTAAAGACAAAAAATATCTTTAAAATTTTTTTCATTAAATTTATATCTGATGAAAGTTTAGAGTTATATGACATTCTATGTCAGAACAGCCGAAGTAGTCCTATTGTTAAAAACATGTTTTTATTGCTCTAAACATTGTGTAGGATATTGTGTCAAAATAGTTGTTATAAAAGTATAATTAGAACTATCATAATTGAATATTAGGTTAATAGCACTTATACTATAACACAATTACCGTCAACTATCATGACAAACACACTAAACACAGGATCCTACACAAAGTTTAGAGTAATAGCTATCACTACACACAATAGTTGGGAGTGAAACTAAACTAACTACACACATGACAAACAAGTCATAAATGATATTTTGCAGAGAATCTAATTTTAGAATAATGATAAGTAGATTTAATAGTTATTCAATTAACTTCATATGTTTAAGTCCTATGATGTGAGAGAGTGATTTATGCATGCAACAGCTGGGAGAGTAACTTGGCTATAGCTCTATCAAAAAACTATGTAAACTGCATACTTACTGAACACTCAATTCTTTTCTCACCATGCAACACTACATTCTAATGCAGTATGTCAACAAAATACTTTACTATAATACACAGTTTGTAGCCATAAATGGTATTATTGATGCATTGAATCAAAAGATAGCCAGTGAAGTATTAGAGAAGACAGTTTGTAAATATACAAAGTATATCTTATAAGTCAGGAATTCATGCAGTCACAGTCTAGCTGCATGTATGTATTACAGCATGAATGACCATCAACAATCATATCACAGCACGGCAATTTCAACACAGCATCCTACACAAAATTTTAGAGCAATAGCTATTGCTCTAAAATTTGTGTAGGTAGGATACCATCAAGGGTACATAATATTATGGCTTGTTTGTCATTTATGTGATTGTGTGAGTAGTTTATTTAAATACTGTTATCTTCGATCATTAAAGATAATTGTAATTACTATTATCTTTATTAAAGATAATAGAAACTAAATAAACTACTCACATGATCACATAAAGGACAAACAAGTCATAAATGGTATTATGCAAGGAAACTAAATTTAGAATAATGATAAGTTTGTAGATTTAATTTAAGAAGATGGTATACTTACATCTTATTAACTCAGTTACCAACACTAACTTTAAGCTAATACATTTATCTTTTAAAATAGTCTTAGAACATGCATTCAGCCATAAAATTCTATCTGAATCATATCAACCTGCCAATCAAATTGGTTTATAATTTTTTCAAACAAACTCCTCAAACAATTTGTACACAAATGAAAATGTGGAATGCATTAAATTAAATATTATAATACAATACATGTAGTAATGGTTTGGTATAAAGATGGGATGATTTATGAATGTAACAGCTGGAGAGAACAACTCAGCTATAGATAGCTGTAACTGAACTAATGTGTGAAGCTACTAATATGCTACTGTTATAACATTGAATTTTTTCTCACCAACACGTGTACATTATAATGCAGTATCATAAAGGCCATAAACTTTACTATACCACACAATTATAGTGGTATTACTGATGTAAAAGATAGCCAGTGAATGATAAGTAATTAGAGAAGAGAGGTTAGTAAATATAAACACAAAGTATAACTTATAATATATCTTATACGTATTGCAACTCCCTGATCAGATTACTCTACTCAATCAGCAGTTCATTAGTTTAGCTATTCAACCTCATTCAATTTACTATCATAAGTATAAATTATTAAGTTAATTGGACTAAGTGACTAGCGACACACTCCATTCAAATAGACAGGGGGAGTGTGTTGCTTCCTCTGGCTCTGCCCAATTAATGAGGCGTATTCATTACTCTGATTTGAATAATTAGATATTACGGTCAATGGGGCAGAAGCGCATTATTATGTGCAATGTCAATGGCGATGCAGTCCAAGATAGAGGCCTTGTTACCAGTTAAAGGAGCAGAGGAACGGAAAGTCGCTGGGCTCAAACACTCACTTGAATCCATAGGAAAGTCCATGTAAGGAAGAAAAGCTGGTTTATGAGAAAGGTAAGAAAACATTAATTTGTGCAATCACCTTTCTTCC